CCCCCCAAAGCTCCGTGGCATTAAAGATAAGATAAGATAAGATAAGATACATCTTTATTGTCCAGATCCCGACAAACTCACGCACACACAACATACACTTGTGTTCCCGGCCAGAAAAAAACAACTTTAAAATACATGAGCTTTCTCGGGAAAAAAATCGTCTTATGTTCACTTTTTATACAGGAGAGAATCTCAGAATAGTGGACATGATAATGATAAATGATAAATGATAAATAGCATTTGTATAGCGCATATCCCTGCTCAACAGCAGGCTCTATGACATGTCAGTCGAGTTTGTTGCCGAGCGTAACACCCAAATACTTACAATCTGACATTTGTTGGACGTTTTCATTTTTGATTTTGAGTGGCTGCAGCTTTGGGACAGCTTCTTTTTTTCTCAAGTCAACAACAAGGTTTTTGTTAGTTGTTGTTGTTTTGTTTTTTTACCCATTTAAAAGCAGCGTATAGACCTTGTGCGTTGTACTATAACTATAACGCTGTTTGCCATGAGATTTTGACACCCCCCCCCCAACATAGAGCCTAGCCCCCAACCCACCCACATACATAGGATAGGCCAACGCTTTTTTACACTGGATTTTTTTTCGAGCCTTGTAGGCTTTGCCAGTTTTTTGTTGTCAAAGTGATAGAAGCACAACTAAGTCTTCAATACAGAGAGGCAAAAGTGTATCGAATAGTGGTGTTTTTATCTTCAGCGCAATTTATTGTGTGAGCGAGTATGTTTGCGAGTCTGCTTGTGTGTGCTCATAGAGCTATCTCCTTTTATATAGTGTACATCTATGTGTGTGCTTCACTTCAAAAGAGCGTCTTCTTTAGCTTGGTAAAATAGATCTAGCCTACAAAACGACTCAGGACCACAGAATTCTAGGCTACACTAGGTCAATGATGATTGACTAGGTGTAGAATTCTGTGCTCAGGACTCAGGACCTGGGCTTGGCTGTTATTGTGAGGTAGTTGCCAGTTTGGCGGTTTCCAAATTAGAAGGGTAGAGCTGACAAAAAAAAACACACTTTGCGAGCAATTATTTTTTCTTCCTTTGAAAAATAAATAGATACCATTGCAGCACGTTTATTTGAAACAGAAAATTGTCAAAGGAGTCTTTACTGATATTTAGTTAAATAACGAGTGAAAATGCAACATTGGCGAGTTGAATATCCCACGTTTAGATTTCACTTTCTTTCTTAGGGATTAGACGAAACCTACCTGGCATGCCCGCTGTCATTCATTCGTTGTCGGGCTGAATTTTGTCCGCCATATTGCCGCTACGATCTTTGTTTCTGTAAGTGTAAGTAATTACTTTTTGTTTGTTTTCTTAAATTGGGGACGACATTGTATACTCTGTAAGCTATAAGCTACTAGATTTATTTGTTTTTCTTTTATTGAACCCAAATCTATATGGGGATAAGGTGAACTTGAGGCCGAAATAGAATTAAAACATAGAGACAGATCTGATCTCGCTCCCGGAAGGACTTCCGATGCAGCAGCGACCACCCCAACCTACGCAATAAAGAAGAGACTTTAGAGTGGGATATGGACCGATCTATGATGTAAAAGATAAGGTTTAGTATTTGGGGCACTAAAGAAAGTAAACTGAGCTTGTGTTACTTTGTATTCCTCTTGCCTTCCTTTGTCTCTTCCCCTGGAATGGATATTATTAGAGAATTTCTAGTGACATGTTAACCTTCGTCCTGCGGCGGCCGGTTTATGTCGCCCGATAATCCTATTTCGGCACCTCGCCTGCGTTCTGGTCCCGCGTCAGTCTAGCCCCTGGCTCGGCACACGCGCGCCTAGCACCATCTCCCCTTGAATTCAGGTCTCGAGTCGGATCCGCATTCACGTAGCACATCAATGATCAAGTGTGTGTGCGTCAGTCTGCTTGAGTTCATGTGCGTTTGTGGCCTTCTTGAAGCACCTGCGTTGGTTCGTAACCGAGGCTTACGTCTCATTCAAAACTTGCCAAGTTGGTAGCTCTAGATGTTCGTCCAATGAAATTATTGAACAAATTGACCTACTTAGACATGAGGAGCTAGAAAGGATAGATTCTAGATCTAGTCAGGAAACATTGCCTGTCTCAATAGTAATAGTCCGCTATTTAGCGGGTTTCCGCTACCGCTATTTCCTCCTCTAAACTCCGCCACCACGACAGCAGGCCAATCAGAAAGAGAGTTGCTGGGAGCAGGGTGACTGCCAGGCCCCGGGAATTAAAAAAAAATTGCAGAGACCCGGGGAAAATAAAAAGAAAGTGGCTATTCTCACCCGCCGGAAGTTCTCGCAAGATCAACTCCTCCCCTCTTCTCTCTCTCTCTCTGTCTCTTTCTGAATACTGTCTATCGGTGTGGACGATCAAATTGACCAAAACAAAGTTAAAAAATGATGTTAAAACACAAAAGTAAATTAATTTGGTTGTCTACAAAGATGCTACGGCTATTTAACTTTTCGAATCGAGCCGAACTACGCGGGTCGCCATTTTGTTTTGGCCGGAAATTCTCGCGCTACTCCTCTCTCTCTTTCTCTCTCTCTCTCCACCGCCCACAGACAAAATTGTACGCTTTTAGTAGGCTACAGTTGTAATGGAACGTTTGTTCACGGCACAGAATTCTACAATTTTTCTGTTATCACAGTGTAGAATTCTGTGGTTTAGGGTGAACGCAAAATTTGGTGAACGCGCACCGGGTGAGAATAGCCACAAGACTCGCCTGCACTATTCTTACTCCGGGTGAGAATAGAGGTGGCCAAATATAAAAGATCTTAATACATTTGAAAACCAAATCCCATGTCTTTTTATTTAAAGTTCATTTTTGCCGGTCGCGATTGTGATATTAATTCGGCTCTGAGAGTACGTTTCACGCAAACTGGGTGCTTTGGCGGCAAGTGGAATTGTGTCACCAATGCTTCTTGAGTAGCAAATCAAGATCTACTTTAGCTTTCGTTACCACCCAGAAATTTGTCAATAATTGTCTGATAATGCAACATTTATTGTAACATGCAGGTTCTGCATTACAAACGTGGTGTCGCCATGAAAATAAATAATCAAAGTTGAACAGTCTTGTTTTCTTGCAGTACCTTTTGAAGGCATTTTCAAATGAAGTATAGTCCGGGAACGTTGCCCCTACTAGATCTACAACTGAAGTAGGCCTATCTGAATATTCAGACAACTAAAAATTTCTGGATTCTAGCTCTAGAAATTGAATTCGGTGCAATAAAAAAATGCTTCTTCCCAGTCTTCGCAGAATGGCAGATGCTGCAGAACTCTTGCAATAACCAACTAAACTCGAGAACGGAAGCCGTTCGGAGAAATAGAGTTCAAGTTTAGTATCCCGAGCGTTCGGAAAAATAGTCATTTCGAATAGATGCTGGTCAACATTTTTTGCACCCAGTCACCATTTTGGAATTGTGCTGCTTAGAATCATTAGATCTAGAATCTAGAGATCTACTGCTGGCTTTGTAGGCCTAAGTGTAAGTTTGACGTAATTAATAATAACGAAGTGATTATTCGGACTCGAGTCCGAATATGAAAAAATGTTATTCGGACTCTGATTCTTGTCCAGCATGACATCACTTCCGACTTCCTGTGACTCGTGACTCCGGCTTCCTGTCCTGCCTCACTCGTGACTCGCCTCAGGCTGGGTAGAGATCGAGATTACTTCGGGCAAAAAGGCGTTTTGTGCAGGAGCCGAGTTGTTATCTTATGATGAATTTGAGGCCGGCCTGAAAAGTTAAGGCGCTTCTAATAAATGTTTATTTGTCAAGAGATCGTCAGAAGCAATTAAAGATGGCTCGTTAGCGTTTGTCGGGGTCAGATGGGCGGCCTGCTCACGTGTGGCTGTGTGCGTGTCAGGGAGGGGGGTGGGGGGGCACTATCGGTCCGGGCGTTGAACGTCGCATACGCGTCAGTCTTTTTCCCCCTGGCAACTGATCATTATTACAATAATATAGGCCATAAGCTAATCTTGACGTAGATCTACGTAATGAATTGTGCGCTGGTCTATGGAATCAAAAGTTGCCGTATGCTCAGCTCTACACAGCAACACAACTTTTTCTTGGTAAACAATCGAGATGACACAGGCTTGTGTATTTGAATGAATCGGTCTTTTTTTTTACACAGCTCATAATATGCAGGTGCCAGGTGGTCTGCTAATCTTCAATTTTACCTTTTTCTACAACAAAGAAAGTGGGAAACATGGGGGGGGGGGGTATCAATCATAATCAATGAGGCGGCGGGCATCGGATCGGCAGAAAAGGTGGGGGGGAAACTAAAAAATGGCGGAAAATTGGAAGCACTGAACGTTAGATCTATAGAACCAAGACACTTCCTTTTTTCCGGACCCGAGTCCGAATAACGATTTTCTAATAATAAGCTTTCAAAAAATTATTTCAGTGTTTTAGGAATTTTTAAAAATATGTCTTAAAATAGAATAGGCCTAGATGTAGTCCGAATAACGACGGCCTAATAATAAGCTTTCAAAAAATTATTTCAGTGTTTTAGGAATTTTTAAAAATATGTCTTAAAATAGAATAGGCCTAGATGTAGATCTACCTATTATCTCAATTAATGCTTAAAAATTCTGTTTTCGTGAATTTATTAAGGTAGTGTCAATTGCCACCGAGTGACGCGGTGGCAATTGACAAAAATTGACTTTTTGTCAATTGCCACAGAGTAAATTGGAGTTCTTTTGCGTTGGTGGGTAGATCTAGCTTATTGTGCTCGGTGTTGTGCGTTCGCCTCTCTGTCCGTCTGTGTGTGTGTGTGTCTTTTCCTGACCCCCGTCCCCCGATTTATGTTCCCCGATATAACGTGAATTTCTGCTTGAGTTTGTGTGCGTTTGTGACCTACCCTACTTCTAGAATTGCCTGTGTTGGTTCTACACCAAAGTATAGGCTAAGGCTAGCCTAGATCTAGGCCTACGGTCTCATTGAAAACACGTCAAGTTGGTACCGTAGCTCTAGACTAGATGCTCGTCCAATGAAATTAGTTGAGAACAAATTGGCCCATTAGACACACATTATGTATAATGCTAAAGACAGTGTTGTTTTCAGACTTGACACCGCTTCACTCGGTGGCAATTGACAAAAAGTCAATTTTTGTCAATTGCCTCCGCGTCACTTGGTGGCAATTGATGCTACCATTTATTAATTGGAGTGTATGCAGACCCTGTAACGGGGAATAAAGTCAAGAAGTATACAGACCCGGTAGTGCTGATTGATTAGATTCATGGATCCTGTTTGAAGCCGCCGTCTTAATACAGCCTCATGGTCAATTGCTAAAAGGTGCCGCTGAAAAGTGGACAAAGCCTTTCATCGGAAATAGGACATTCATTGTTTTGTGTGCTGACGGCATAAAAGTGTAGCGAGGCTTTCTGTCAGTCCAAGATCGAGTTTATAGAGAGAGAGTGGAGTGAATGAAATTAAGAAAGAGAGAGAGAGAGAGATCAACAGAAAAATAGACAAAGAAATCAACGTTGAAACAGATGGGGGGGGGGGTTGATTTAAATTTAAGTTAGGTCACACGCTACAGTTGACTGGAAAATGAGAAAGTAGAGAGAGAGGAGGGGGGAGAAACAAAGAGAAAAAAAAAGGCAGATTTGGGGGTAAGGGGGGAGAGATGATATATAATATATCGAGAGAGGGGGGGTAGAGAGACAAAGAGAGAGACGGAGTGGAGACACCAGGACACACTCAAAGTGGACGGGTAGTGTCAAAAAGATAAACACTGTGAGAGGGAAGGAACTAGAGAGACAGTGTGAGAGAGAGAGGCCTTCATTTAGATCTAGATCTATGATCTATGTCTGTCCTAGACTTGGGCCGTAGATCTAGAAGCAGAGGTCTACCCTGTTTCAAGAGGGCGCTGAAACTGAAACTTTCCGAAATCACAAGATTTCCCCAACCGTGTCTGTATACTTTGTGACTTTGTTCCCGGTTACTGGGTCTGTATACATTCCCTTCATTAATAAAACAGTCTAGATCTAGCCTACGACTAATGATTGTAATTGGAAAGATAATTTTTCTCTCTCTGCAGCTTTGGAATGGATTTTCCTAATCCGTATCAGCAAAACAGCAAAGGTTTTGGTTTTGGAGGGAATTTTTCTGGTAATAACGCCACTGGTGGACAAGAAGATATGACTGAAATGGAGCGCTTTGCCCTGCAGTGTGGCAGATTTGGACCTTCTGGATTTGAGGGCAGAAGTCATGATTACTCAGAGGCAGAATTACTTCGTATGAAGGAGATGAGAAGTCTTGGGGATTACATGGGCCGAGAACCTCTGCCCCCTGGAGTAGAGGACGGGGCTTATCTGGCCCGTGAACGAGGGAGAGAGCGAGATAGAGACCAGAGAGACATGAGAAGTCGGGATGACCGAGACAGGGGAAGGTGAGTACGCCAATGTTGTCCTCGTTGATTGGGACAGTCCTCGAGTTTAAATTCTGTAGGCGAGGGAAGTATTTTGTGCAATGTCTATTACAGTATACTTCTGGAGAAAATTGGTCAGGAAACTCTCCAGAATGAACTTTGTATGCAGTGTATTATTATAGCAATTTGTAAGCAGGTACAGCGAATTTCTCGCTATTTCTGTGGAAATGAATTGACACTTTTTTGTCACCACTTAAGATAACGTCTAACTGGTGGATTTTCACCTCCCTGTCTTTTTTTCCCCCATACAGTATACTTCTCCTTCTCTTTGGTTCTATCTCCTTTACAGTAATCTTATGTGTCTCGAGATTTTGGAAATAGAACTAGATCTAGGATAAATATACACCTCACTCATTTTTCTTTTCTTTAGTTGGTCTTACACCTTTACCTGTGTAGGACATAGAGGGCTCTCAAACGTGGAACTAGGTCTACTCAAACTAGAGCTCTGTCCATTTCATTGCCGCAGGCTTTAGATTGATTGGAATCACGGTCATTGGTTTGTTAGAATCATATTCAAGAATAATATCATGATTGACATTAGACTGAAGAATTTTTACCTTCACTTCCTACCGAAAGAATTAACTTAACACTTACTTCACATTAATTACCCGGGGAAACAATTGCCTTGGTCAGCAGATTTTTATTTTAAAATTCTTTTTTAAATCCTAAAATATGAGAGTGTTTGTTGTAAAGTGAAAGTACTTTGTGTTTGCTGCTGGGCTCAGTTTATATGGACCCTAAAAATCTCGCATTACCAATTTGTTCTCCATCTCGAAAGCCTCTCTTTCTTTTCCATGCCTTTGCCACAGCCAGTTTGAGTTTGTTGTCAGTTGCCCCGTAGCTGTGTGCTCTCACACTGGATGTCCCTTTTTCAGAGATCGTGATCGTCGTAGAGATTCGGACCGAGACCGACGAGGGGGAGACTGGAGTCAAGAGAGGGAAAGAGGGAGACACAGGGATCGCAGTGGAAACAGAGATCGCAGCCCGATGCACTCTGGCAGTAAAGACTACGATGGGAGGGGTCCCATGTATGAATCATTTGATGATGATGTAAGTTGCGACTGGTCACGGTTCCCTATACTTATCAGTGCAACGTGTCTTTTGTCATTTGTTGTCTGACCTCTATTTATTGATATCGGCCCAATTTGAACTGCAGTTTTTTCGTCCTTGTATTCGTTGCACCCCAAGAGGTGTCATTTTGCAGCACGGAAAAAAGTTTTGCTTGCTATGTGCATGTGTGCAAACAGTTGTTATGCTACTCATACAATTCAATTGGATTAAGATTTACTAACTAAAATAAATTCTGCACGTTTCTGTTCACAATGCAGTCACGCTTTTTTGTACATTTCAATTATGGGTGGTTGGCAGGTGCTCTGGTGTGGTTTGCTCCTTCTTTCCTATAAAAAAGTCCATCGTCTTTATCTCCCCTCCTTTTTTGTGTTTGTTACTCTCTTGTAACTTCTCTAATCTTGGGCATTTATATGACCTTTGTGTTGCAAGTGCCCTAAACCTCTTACTTAAACAATTATTTTACTGTTTTCTTGCTCAAGATAATTGTTGAATGCTCTTTTTACTTCCTCTTTCTTCACAGTATGGATCAGAAGAAGGTGACAGAGGTGATAGATACAGAGGGAGAGAAGATTTCCGCGGTGACTCCTCTCGTAATGCTGATGACAAGGCCGGTGACAAGTGGGTTTGCAACCAACCATCTCGCACTATCATTCTGAGAGGACTTCATGTCGATATTACAGAAAAAATTGTGAGTATTAATGTTTTCTATGTTGTATTGATGTTCATGTGTCTTGTCAGAATGGGATGAAATGATTCGTTTGTTTGGACAGTTGAAAGAAAACACTGTGATTTTTTTGGCCTATTTGTTGCTCCTGTGTTTCAAGTACTATCTAAATCTGCTCTCATTTTAAAGAATACATGGATGGTTGGCGGATGCTCTGGTGTGGTTTTCTTCTTCTTTCCTATCAAACATACATCTATCGTCTTTGTCTCCCCTCCTTTTTTAAAAATGTTCGTTACTCTCTTGTAACACCTCTAATCTTCTGCACTTATATGACTTTATTGTGTTGCAAGTGCTGTAAAACTTTTATTAAAACTAAATTTTAAAATGCAGTTTTGCAGGAGAGGCAAAAAACTGAATGTTGTTACCAATAAATGCTGTAAAGATTGTTAAAAAGTTATCAAAATTTTATTCTTAAAAATATTAACTAGTGATGTTTGCGAATAGTTTTGTTTTGTTTTGGTAACAATATTGAATTTTCTGGTGCTCCTGTAAAATTGTAGAAATTTCACATAAGTTATTTTTTAAAAATGATGGCAGTAATTGACCCAACTGACGCTTTCAAAATTTAAACAAAATGCTTTTCTTTTCTCTCAGATCGGAGCAGAATTGATGATGCTCGGCCTACCTGTCAAAGATATACGCCTTATCAGGAGATCTTCAGGTAATTTGATGTTTCTAGAATCCTTAAAGTTCCCTGTGTTATTGTTGATTTTGTTGTATATCACCATGTTATACATGTGTGTCATTTGTTTTGGAAATAATTGCATTTTTGTTTGTGTTTTGTATTGAATATGATGTAATGTGGCAATTTTTAAAAAAGTATTTGTCTTGAAACTGTGAAGGAGTTGTCCTCCTCAAATTTTTTTATTTCATTGTTCTACCTCTGACTCTTTTTTTTTTTTTTGGGTACTCTAATGAAATGTCTGCACACTTTTTATGAAAAAAGTCGGGGGGGGGGGGGGGTTTGGTGACTTTTAAATGACTGCAGTCTGTCATCCCTTGGAATGTTAGGTCCACACACTAATCCCGCATCTAGCAATGTTGGACACGGTTTTGTATTTCAGACTTCATAAATTTGTGACTTAAACCTTTTTTTTATACCCTGTCCCACTTTTTGTATAAAGTTCATGAAATTGTAAGTTTAAAGTGATTTTTGGCTTGTTACGGTTTTGGAGGGGAGGGGGGGGGTTTCAACCTTGTGCTCCAGACTAACTGAGATTGATGTGTGTGAAAAGATAAGGACCAATTGACGTGCATTGTTCTGGATGTGCATGGTAGTATACTGTTAGAACTTGTCTGATGGATGGTGCACAAGTTATGGACACATGTAAACATGTGCAGAATGAAACAGTTGGATAGTTAGTGCCTTCTGTTGCACCGGAACTGAATTTGCAGAGCAGAGTGTGGTGGTGAGTGGAGCTCTGGGTGAGTATGGAGGAGATCGGTTTTGGCGCTGGTGTCCTTCCTTATTGGTGTTGTCCAGCTCTTGTCAAGGCTTGGTTCTAGAACTGATGATGCCCTTTGAGTTTGTTGAATGTTTTTCTTAACAAGATTCGTTTCCACCTTGCTTACACAGGTGTCTCGCGAGGCTTTGCTTTTGTGGAGTTTCATAACGTAGCTGATGCCCAGCGCTGGATGGAGCATACACAGGTTGATAAATAATCAGCAAGCAAAAGCTTTGGTTCATGTACATCCGCATAGTAACGACGATGCGGAACCAGTCTCAAGATATGATGCTCAGCCCGCCTGAGTTGATTGGTTTGGGACTTTTATTGGATTTTATCGTAATATTCCATGCCTGCATTTTGGTTAGGCTCAAAGGTGGATTTTTAGCCTTACATACAGTAAGCAAGTTTTAGCTAAATAAGTGTATGAATGTCTCAGGACTCAGCATAGGAATGGGAATAGTTGGTACAGTAGTGTACCTTTTTTTCCCCCCTCACTGTAGGTCATGGAACCAGGAGTCATTCTATTCTCATAGCATTATGTTCGCTGAACTGAAGGTACACCCTGCCTTGTGCATGATGGGAATTTTTATGAAACACGTAAAGCCACGCTGGACGTGAGAAGGCTTACCTCTACTTAATATTTATGAACCGTGATAGTCCAGACTTACGAGACCTACATTTTTTCTTTTGGATGTCCATATTGTAAAGGTTTCAAGGAACAAAAATAGCACCCCTTTAGGAGGTTTTTTTTTTTTTTTAAATTGCTATAGCGGCACCAGTTTGTCTTAAAAGTTTCCTCTCTTTTTTTTTTTTTCTTCAAAGAAAAAATTCAGCAGGGCTGTCTTAATGAGGTGCTTTACTCTGTTTTAATATTATAAACATTGTAATGAGCTCTGTCATTTCTTTTGTATTCTACATGTTTCTTAGGGGAATTTCACTGTTTAAAGTGGTTGATTTATTCTGGGGTGGGCAAAAAGTCCATAGTTTTTTTTCCTATTTTGATGTACGTATATCTGTATTGATATTTACATGCAACGTGATAGGTAATGGAAAAATTGTAGTTATTTTGAAGCTGTGAAGGAAGAAAGTTTTATGTCCCTAAATGTTGATATTCTTTTATTCATATATATTATACCTCCCCTCTACGTGGTCGCCTCGCGGCGTGGCTGTCTTTTCGTTTTGGGCGCGAGAGCTTGTGGTTTTTTGGTTTGGGGCTTCCCCAGTGAGGCGGAGAACGTGTCTGACAGCGATGTTCTATCCTCAGGGCACCATCACTCTGCTCAACCAGTACCGAGCGCACCTGGCCTACAGCGTTACCCGCACGGGCAACAGAGACAACTCGAATCTACAGAGGAATGATTGGGTCTGCATCAAGGTGAGGGCTTAATATATTTGAGGGCTTCATGTACCTGTTCAGACAACTTTTTATGCCTTGAATGTTTGACTGGAAAAGAGTCTTTACAAGCTTTTCTCCATAGCAATAGCAGTCATTTAGATGTGTTCATTATTTTCTTTCTATTATTGACTTCAAGCATTATGGTGAAAGTGATTTTATTTTTTACTTTGCTTTTGCTGCTTTGAATTATTTCAGTTTTTCTTTCATACACTAGGATTTTTAAAAAATGTACAGATGAAGAATGTTGAATGGCCTTAAAATATTGCCCCTACCTAAATGTGGGAGAAGTAGTTCCAGCATTGTCACCTTTGCGCAACTTTTCATTCTTGAAATCTTGCTTCGCTCTGCTGCGTATGTAAAAAATTGTAAAGTTTTCAGAATTGTCAGTCTTGTGGTTCAGGGTTTACGCTCAACAGAAAATACAAATGCGTTGAGATAGTAGTGACAGATTCAAGACAAGGTCTCGACTCGTATATGCATTTTCTGATGATTCTACCATTAATTGACACTGCCTTTCAAAATATTGCATTAAGTAACGTGATCAAGCTTCTCCTTGAAAGTAAATTGCCACCATATGTTTGCTTAACTTTGCTCATATCCTGTGTCCGACCTGTTTCAATTCCAGTGCCTAGGTCACAATTTCAAGCGCAGAGATTACTGTTATAATTGCAACCTACCTCGTAAGGGTAAGTAATTTCCATGTTACACATATTTCTTAAATATTGATTGATGTGAATTTGTTTTTTGTTTACTCTTTCAAGCTTATGGAATAATGTATCTGTGGTGTTTTGTACTCACAGGATGTTAGAAAAGTAAGGTACAAACACGTGTCCCAAAAATGTTTTTACAATCCAAAGTCATCGTCGGAGGACGGTCATCAATATTTCTCTGTTGCCAGTCCACCAAGTCGCCTCTGAGATTGAAGGAGTTGTTCAATTTGGTGCACAGATGTATGACCAAAACTGAGTGGATGGTGCTGTAAAACATCTACCGAAACAAGCAAACAAACAAATGCGTAAGAATTCTTTCCAGAGAATGACATCGGACAACTGTAAATCTCATTGCACCTGCGAGGATATTGCCGTCGGGGTTTTTTACTGCTTCTATGGGAAAATGTCAGTTGAGGGAGACTGCGAAGAATCTGAAGGATGGAAGTCAAGGTTGTGCTGGGGTCGCTGGGTAACCTTCCCTCCACGCTACCGCTGGATCAGTTTGATTGTCAGATGTGTCGCGTGTGTGGATGGTGTTGATGTGCAGTCAAGTGGCTACGTCGTACGCAAGTCACGGTGTCCCTTTCGATAAAAAAGCTTTCACATGCTTGTCGTGGGCACTGTTTGGGACCGTCTGCTCGGGGAAAGAAAGGGGCTCTGCAGCTCTTTTGTGAATTTAGTGCTGTCTGTATTCTAGAATGGAAGCTTCGATGTGTGCCGTAATGTACTCTGTTGTGGATGAATGTGGCTCGCTCAAGTCTCACTCGGGAAATTCATAAGATCCATACCCGTACGGATGTCTGCTTTCTGCTCATTACTTGTTTTCTGTATTATAAGCTGTATGATCACTCGGAAATTTTGCGGAACTTCGTTGTTTGCTTGCATAGCCGGCACAACTGCTTGCATCTCTGCGCCTGGGTTCACACTGCATCGTGGGTGCTTCCAGATTTTAAGGGACGACCTCACCACGTGTCACACTTGTCAGCAAGTCGGTGGAAAGGCTGCCGCTACCACGCCCTCGCCCCTTCCATTGATTTCTGCTAAGTTATACCTTTCTGTACCTTACTTTTCGGACGTCCCTCCTATTTTTAACTTGTTAATCGTAATACGTGAAGTGTATAAAAGCATGTTTTGGGCTTGTTTTGCAGAGTCGGAGAAAGGCAAGCCCACAGATGGCCAGGAAGAAATTGGCACCAATCCCTGCAACAGTAAGTGTCTTCCTTGTGAAATGAGTCGAGTCTGTGAGTTTGTGTATGATCTAGTGGGGAAATAGTTCTGTGTGCATGTGTGTGGTAGTGAAGGGGACTCAGCATGGTCTGCACTTTCTACTTCCAAGTGTTTAAGCGAAAAAACTCTCTTGTAAAACCTCTAATCTTAGGCTCTTATATGGCCTTATTGTGTTTTCAAGTGCTGTAAAGCACTTACTAAAACATAGTATGCTAAGAAGAAAACTATCCATGTCTCTTTTAGCACTTACTAAAACATGGTATGCTGAGAAGTAAATATATCCATGTCTCTTTCCTCTTCTTCTTCTTTTACCTCGTGGTTGGAGCAACCGTGGGGGCACCACTGCCTCTGAAAACCAGCTCTCACCATTTGTCTCTGTCCTCTGCTTTCCTCAGATTGTCACCCATTGTCTTTCCTGTCCACTCTGTAATGTTGTCCTCCCATCTCCTTCTCTGCCTTCCTCTCTTTCTCTTTCCTTGTACGGTTCCTTGCAGGATTGTTTCTTTCAGCACTTACTAAAACATCATGTCTTATAAGGAAAATATCCAAGTCTCTAGCACTTACTAAAACACCGTATGCTAAGTAGAAAACTATCCACGTCTCTTTCAGCGCTCATCTTTAGAGGACTGGATGCCCTGACCACGGAGGAGGCATTAGTGACGGCGCTGACTCAGAGCTCGCCACAGCCCCTGGCGCCCATCAAAAATGTGGCCATCATCCGCGACGACCTGAACACTTCCCGCGGCTTCGGCTTTGTGGAGTTCCACACGGTGCAGGCGTCAACGCTAGTGCTGGACGCCCTGAACAAGCTGAGTCCCCCGTTGGAGGTGGATGGGAAACAGCTTCTGATTAACTATGCCAAGAACACGTTTAACACAACGTGAGTTTGGATTTGTGTGTTTGGTGAAGTTTTCTTAGTTGACCGAAGCTCGAGTCTTTTAGTTAAACATGAAGTAAAAATAATTCATCATTTTGTTGGGGGAAATTTTTGTTCCTTCTGACTATTTTAAAAAATATTTTTTGGTAGAGGTTTTACGGTGCTCACAACTGCATAAGGTCATATGAGCGCCAAGGAGTGGATATCAACAGAGAAGTCCTTACAGGGAATCAGACTTATTCTGTTCACCTCTCTAGCTTCTACAGCACAAAGTCTGCTTCGACTATCAAAGCACTCCGGAAATATCGGGTCACAAGAGTGTGACAAATGCACAAAAGAAGTAGAGGAGAATGACGATAATAGGGATTAGGAAAGAAACAGCAGCAGTTCCCTGTTGCTGTTCAGGCACAGTTATGAGCATCCACCCCTTGACACTCATATGACCATAAGCAGTTGCGAGCGCAATAAAACCTCTACTACAACAAAAAGCCAATCTTGTCAGTGTGCTCCTGTTAAATTAATTTTTACTCATTTCCAGTCTGTTAATTTTTGTCATGGCATGTTCCGTGACAGTTGTTAAGATAACGTACAGTGTGATATTTAAGTTGATTGTTGTTTTTTAGGTTATGGGTGCTGACTAAGTGGTTATGATCCTAGTCTGCGAGCTGACGGGAAAGGCCTTTTTATGTCTGTTTTTGTTCGTCTTTGTGGGTGGTAGGCGGGTGCTCTGGTGTGGTATGCTTCTTTTTTCCTATCAAACATTTATCGTCCTTATCTCCCCTCCTTTTTTTTGTTTGTTGCTCTCTTGTAACACCTAATCTACGGCAAATATATGACCTTATTGTATTGCAAGTGTCGTAAAACACTTACTATTCATCTTTTTTTTGGTTTTTCTTTTCTTCTAGGATGGCGTACATCCAACAGCAGCAACAGCAGGCTCAGGTGAGTGTGTCTTGTTGTGACTTTGCTTTATAGACTTGTGATAGAATAGGTGTGTGGATGGTTGGCGGGTGCTCTGGTGTGGTTTGCTCCTTCTCTCCTATCAAACATATATCATTCTGATCTCTCCTTCTTCTTTTTTTTGTTTTTGTTACTCTCTTGTAACACCTCTAATTTTCGGCAGTTATATGACCTTATTGTGTTGCAAGTGCCGTAAAACTGTTACTAAAACTAAAGTGTTGGTTACTATATTGTGACAGCAACTACAACTTGAGGGTTTTTCCCTCTATGAGTCTCGGATACTGTTAGTGTTCAACAAGTGTTGGTTGCTGTATGTGTATTGCTCTTTACAGTATGTATCTACGAGTGTATAACTCCTGAGGTCTTGTAATCAAATTCCTGCATGTTGTTGAATGATGCATCTGATGTGATATGTACATTTTATCAGCTTTACTTCTTTTTTCCAGTTGAATTTTTATGAGAGTAATATATAGTTTAGATTTTTTATGTGTACCTGCATGTGTTTTTACGGTCCTGTACAGCCGAGAAATATTTCCCTCCTGGATAATAAAGTATGATCTTGTCTTATATTGCAGTACTACGACAGCAACTACTACCAGGGCGGCCAGTACTACGACGCGGCCACCCAGCAGTACTACGACTACTCTCAGTACTACGCTCAGGCCGGGGCCCCCGTCGGGACCACTGCCGCCACCACGACCGCAGCGGGGAAAGGAGAAAGTGAGTTGTGTGGGTTGGTTGGCGGGTGCTGTTGTAGTGTGGTTTGCTCCTTCTTTCCTATCAAACATCTGTCGTCCTTAACTCCTCTCCCTCTTTTTTTTTTCCGTACGTTACTCTCTTCTAACACTTAATCTATTCCTCCTCACTTATATGACCTTATTGTGTTGCAAGTGCTGTAAAACACTTACTGAAACTTAAGTGAGTTGTGGGCCCAGTGGCTGGCCTTTTTAACACTGCCGCCACATCTCGCCGATCGGATGGAATGCCTTAATGGGTGGTGGTTGGCGGGTGCTCTGGTGTGGTTTGCTTGCTTCTTCTTTCCTTTCAAACCTCTATCGTCCTTGTTCTCCCCCCCCCCCCTCCCATTTTGTCTTTGTTACTCTCTTGTGACACCTCTAATCTTCAGCACTTATATAACTCTATTGTGTTGCAAGTGCCATAAAACACTTACTAAAACTAAAACTATTTGGTAAAGGTGGCAAAGAATACTGAGGTGGATTTTTTTATGGGCATTTCAGTCATATGCAGCAGGTGATGGATGTTACAGGCAGTCAGTTTTATTTGTATCACTTTAAAAGACAATGTTTGATTTCAGTTTTGCCAAAGTCTGATAACCCTGTGAGTATGTGGTTGGCGGGTGCTCTGGTGTGGTCTGCTCCTTCTTTCCCATCAAACGTCTATCGTCCTTATCTCTTCTCCTTCTTTTTTGTGTTTGTTACTCTCTTGTAACACCTATAATCTTCTGCACTTATATGACCTTATGCAGTTGTGACCGCCGTAAAACCTCTACTAAACTAAAACCTCTAATCTTCGGCACTTATATGACCTTATTGTGTTGCAAGTGCCGTGTAGGTAGTCCTTCGTTGCCGAAAATTACGATGAATCCTGCAGCTCATCTGTGGACGCGCATGTGGCTGTGCAATCCGATCCTGGATGTACAATGTCTGTTGCAGTGGGGACACTGGAATGTCATGGTTGTGGTGGTTGGATTATGTCTCCTTTCTCTTCTGGTAGTCAGCCTCTCCCTGTAGTTTGTATCATTGTTTCTGCTGGCAATACGGACGGCAAGTGTCGTACTCTTACTAAAACTAACCCTGTGAAATGTGTTTTGTTGTGTTGCAGATACGACAAATGCTGCAGCAGCTGTAGCTCACGCTGCCATCCAGCAAGCCCAGGCAGCAAAGAACTACCAGAAGCAGGTCAGTGAGTGGTTGGCGGGTACTCTGGTGTGGTTTGCTCCTTTTTTCCTGTCGTCGAACATGTATCGTCCTTATCTCGCCTCCTTTTTTGTGTTTGTTACTCTCTTGTAACACCTCTTTTCTTTGGCACTTATATGACCTTCTTGTGTTGCAAGTGCCGTAAAACACTTACTAAAGAAAAAAGAAGCAGGTCTGTCTTCATCTGTCTATGGAGCTCGACATGGCTGTTGCAGGTGGTTGGAGGGTGCCACTGGTAGGTCCTTCTTCTTTTCTGTCCCTCTGTTGTTTCGGGGGGTGGTGTTGTCTTCCCTTTTTTTTTTTTTCAGCACAATAGACCGTTACCTGTGTCGATGAGCTTCTCTTCACTCAAACGTAAACACATGTGGGTGGTTGGCGGTTGCTCTGGTGTGGTTTGTTCCTTCTTTCCTATCAAACATCTATCGTCTTTTATCTCCCCTCCTTTTTTGTGTTTGTTACTCCCTTGTAACACCTCTAATCTTCGGCACTTATATGACGTTATTGTGTTGCAAGTGCATAAAACTTTAAAAAACACACTGGTTGGTTTTGCTTCTTTTTTAAAACTCAGATTACTATAATTTTCATACTTTCTCAAATAACAATTTTGGTGTGGTTTTTTAAACTCTGAAAACGACGCTTTGCTCTCCTACAGATTCAAAAGAAAGTGGTTGGTCAGAACGAGACTGTTGTTGTCAATGGTGTGGAGTACCCAGTTTATCGTAAGTGTTATTACTGTACGTCTGTGGAATTGCAAACTGGGACTTAAGCATGACAAAAAAATTAATTGGAATGCCATTTATTTTTAGATGTGGGTTAGCACAGAGTGTAGAGGGTTGCAGGAAGTTTTTTGTCGTAAAAAAAAGGTACTATGGGAATGTTGCGACCATCTTGATGCTTTTCAAATAAAGCTGGAGGTCTTGAGCTACCACATATTATGTTTGCTTTAATTTAAATGTGGCAAACATTTCTCTGTCAGGATTGGTCTCTTCGGCCACAGCAAAAGCCACAAACCTATAATTCTTCTATTTCACTGGAGAAATATGTGAGGCAGCGTGGTGAAAACTGGCGCTCGTCAAAATAGTGAAAGTGAAGAAACTGGCTTTTTTTGGGTAGATTTGTGAATTTTAAAAGAATTTTTGTTCTTTGGCTCAACGCCATTCAAGTCCATTAAAGAACACATTTCTGTGTGGATTTAACTGAAGAACATTGATTGAAAGCACAAAAAATGTAAATTTTCATTTTTCACGGACTCTCAAGCAAGGGAAATGACTCATGTTTGGCGATTTTACCTCTAAAATCAAGTGACCCCCACCTCCTTCATCCGCAAATATCTTGACTTCTATTCAAGATCAATGGATATTTTTCTCATCCAAAGCAAGACAAATGAACAAGCTTTAAGATGATACCAATAACTCTACTTGACCAAATACTGACGAGAGCCTGATTCTACCGCGCCGTGACCCCTATCCTCCTCTCCTCTGCAGATGTATTGGTCGTCGTCAGACATTAAATGTGGAGCTGTTGTATTATTATGTTTGCTTTGCTCCTTTGAAAATATATGTACATGAGGTTGATAGGTGCAGACCTTGTGCTGTTGAAGCTAGAGAGGTGAGCAGTCTAAGTCTGATTCCCTGTAAAGACTTCTCTGTTGACACCCACCCCTTGGTGCTCATATGACCTTATGCTGATGCGAGCGCCGTAAAACCCTCTACTATTAAAAAAAACAAAAAACATTTCGAGTTCTTATGCACAGTAGTATTGTAATTGTAAATGGGCTGATTCATCAATGTCATGCTCATAACTGTGCCTTATGACTTTATGCAGTTGCGAGCGCCGTAAAACCCTTTACTATAAAAAAAACAAAACAAAACATTTCGAGTTCTTATGCACAGTATTATTGTAATTGTAAATGGGCTGATTCATCAATGTCATGCTCATAACTGTGCCTGAACTGCAACAGGGAACTGCTGCTTTTTCTTTCCTAATCCTTACTATCGTCATTTTTCCTCTACTTCTTTTGTATGTTTATCACACTCTTGTGACCCGCTATTTCTGGGGTGCCTTGAGGTACGTGATGTACTTTGTCCTGACTGCAGGGGTTTTTTTTTTTGACAGCTCCTCCAGACACCTCCCAGTACCAGTATGAAGAGACGTCAGGCTTCTACTACGACCCCAGCACACAGCTCTACTATGATGCCAATTCACAGGTGAACTGTCCAGATTTATTGACAGATAAAAACAGCTTCGTGGAGGGAGTACATTCGGCTTGTTTGTTCACATGCAGTGACTATATAAACTTCCAACTCTGTTGGCGTAGCTTTGGCAGCTGGTGAGACTGGGTGGGGGATGCCCTGGTATGGGTTGTATCTTCTGTTTGTTTTAAAAATGATTCAAGTTGCTGGTGTAGAATAAAGAGTCACGTTTGCGTGACATTAAGCAACTTACCATATTCCATATATGGAAACTATTGTCAATTTGTTTTTCATGGCTTGATTGAGGTGCTCTTCCATTTCAGTACTACTACAACTCGACCACGGGCCAGTACATGTACTGGGATGCGGAGAAGTCGACTTACTTGCCGGCGCCAACCGGTGGAGAGGATTCTTCTGGTGCCGATGGGTCGGATGGGGCCGGCAAGAAAGACGGCAAAGATAAAAAAGATAAAGAAAAGGTCAAGATTGCGAAGAAAATTGCAAAGGTTAGTTGTTGTAGTTGTTGGGGTTTTTCTTTTTTTTCCTTTGTCTTTGTCTTTTTTTTTTTTTTTTTTTGCTTTTCTTTTTCTTCTTCTTTTTTTTTTATAAATTGTGTGTTTTTTCGTTCGTTTGTTTTTCGAAAAAATAAATATCTGTTAGGTTGGAATTCAGAACTTGAAAAAATTGTTAGATGTGTACAATGGTCACTGTATATAGTGGTTAATGTATTCTCCAGTATGTCAGTTTTAATTGTTCAATGATGTCAGTATATGGGAGGCATCGTGGTGAAATCAGGCGCTCGTCAAAATAATGAAATCAAAGAAGTTGGCATTTTTCTGGCTGTTGGGCAATTATTTTCTAATGTCCTTTTTTTTTTTTTTGGCTTAACACCTTTTATATCCTTTAAGAAATACATTTCTATATGGATTGTACTGAAAAACAATGATTAAAAGCTAAAAAAATGCAAATTTTCAGTTTCCAAGGACTCTTAAGCTATTGAAATTATCAAAATTTTGCAGCCAATTTCTCGCTAATTTTACCTCTGAAACCAGGCGACCCTGACATCGTTCATTCGCAAATATTTCAACTTCTGGTCAATATAGATTGATAATCTTTTCTCCAAAAGCAAGCAAATGAACAGGCTTTAAGATGACCAATAACCCCATATGCCCAAAAATTGAAGAGCACCTGATTCCACCTCGTCATGACACATATCTTTGCTTGCCTTCAGGACATGGAGAAATGGGCCAAGAGTATGAATGCCCAGAAGGAGGCTCAGAAAGAAGTGATGAAGCGGCCGCAAGGACCGGGCGGGTCGTTCAAGCTCGAGTCTGCAGCAGCAGATGCTGGATTTGCTATGCTGCAGAAAGCCGTAAGCTACTTTTCCGTATCCGTCTTACTGTACTGAATTATGTACCCTTTTCTACAGGAAAAGATTTAATGAGAAATAGTTCTTAGTGTGAGAAATTGTAAAGTGTGGAGAGCCTTCTTTCTTGTAGGGATATCTACTATACTCTCTCGATATTAATATGAATATAAAGAAAATTTAGTGTTTAAACAGGTAGATTACTCTTATTTATTAGCTCACCATTACTTCAGACTCCATTTTCATACGTTTGTTGTTTAAAAGAAAGATTCTTGGACTTGCATTAACTTTTGTTTCTTTTTTTTCCCCCCTCAACAGAAAGAGGACATGACGATGATGCCTCCTCCTCCCCTGATAGGGGTAAGGCAAACTTGTTCTTTGTGGGTTTTTGGCGGGTGCCCTGGTGTGGTTTGCTTCTTCTTCCCTATCAAACATCTATCGTCCTTATCTCCCTTTCTTCTTTTTTATGTTTCCCCTTCTTCTTTTTTATGTTTGTTATTCTCTTGAAACACCTCTAATCTTCTGGGCTCATATGACCGTATGCAGTTGCGAGCGCTGTAAAACCTCTATGAAAACTTTAAAAAATTTTCTTTTTTTTTGTAATCACAGCTTTTTCTTGTATAGACATAAATGGGTCTGTTTCAAGAGAAAGTTTTGCCAAGATAAGTGCGTGGGGTTTCTATTGTCAATGGCGATTTCTCATGTTTCTAGCTTCTAGGTTGTGTAGAAGTTGCTCAGGAAGTAGTATGGTCTTTGGACCAAGGTGTTGATGAAATATAGTGGGTGCACTCTTGTGTTACCAATAGGGTTGGGAATGTTTCTGTGTTACAGGACCCTTTCTTGATGGAAATTTTATAACTGTCAAACCTCGTTATACTTGGCAGTTTTGTGAAAATTTCAAAGTTGTCTGATATGCTTTGAAATACTTTCATTTGAAAGCCCTTGCCTTGATGATCATAAAACTAAATTGTTCTGATGTCTTTATTTGTTAAAAAGTTATGGCAATTTTTCATACCTAAAATCCCGCCAATTTCAGGCCATTTTAAACATTTAAGTTATTATATTTTTCAAGTTTTATTTCCATTCCAAAGCCCGAAGGTATGCTATAATAAGATGGATATAACGGCTGCTGGCTCTGACTGCTGCTTGCTTACTACTGCAAATTCTAGATGAAGTTTGACTGTGTGTTATTTTATCTTTACATGCCAACTGTTGTTCTGGGCAACACAGTGCCTCGATAGACTTGTGTAATGTTTCCATCTTTTTATGTTAAAATGGGTTTTTTTGTGTTGTTTTTTAAACTTGATCTTATGTAAGGACTTTTTTTTTCAATATATCTGCCGCACTCCTTGACCTACTCAGTGTGTGCTTGGCGTGTGCTCTGGTGTGGTTTGCTCCTTCTTTCTTACAGAGTCCCCACAGGGTCGGGAAATCGGGGAAAAAGTCGGGAATTTTGAGATAGGTCGGGAAAAAGTCGGGAATTTTGTGATGGGTGGGTAAGTCGGGAAAGGATATAGGGCCTGTTTAATGTGCAGCTATCTAGACTGTATGGTTGATGAATCCTGAAGAGGACACGTAATTGAACCGCTGTGGTGGAAGTGTATGTGTGACACTGAGGCTCGATCGGGTAGAATCAAGATCTACTTTCGTTTTCGTTACCACCCAGAAATTTTCCGGTAATAGTCTTGACAGATAACGCCAAATTTGTAACATGCAGGTTATGAATTATGAACGCTGTGTCGCCTTGAAAATAAATCAATATTAAAAATTGCCCTCTGCTGTCGCTTGTGGAAAAAAAAAAGAAAAAGAACTTACACAAGCGTCTTGACAGGTTCGCCCTCGTGACCGGTCAATGAACCTGTGAGTACCGGCGGTCTGAGCGCTGTGAAGTATAGGACTCCTTTATAAGATACACACGTGGAAGGGGATTGGGGGGGGGGGAGCTGAAGGCAACGCTAGAGGACAAAAACTGAACTTGGAAGCAAATTTTTTGCATTTTGATAACTACTTTAGAGCTCTCTGCAAAGCGCGCGTTGGTGCAGGCCTTGTGTGGAATCGGGATCCGTCATGCCTTGTTATTGAACTAAAGTGTTCACGTTTCATTGGATGGGGTGATTGTAATTTATATCTATATTTTAGGCCCCCCCCCCCCCCTCACCCCAGTTCTTGCACCTCTCACACTGAATAGGTGTACTTGAGCCATTCTAGTTATTACTAATATTACTCTTCTTTGAGTTGCAGCAATGGTTTTCATCTTCACGTTTATTATATGAATCGTGACACCCAGACTGGTTATTGACAGTCGATATTCTAGTTCTAGGTCTTTTCTCAGGCTCAAAACAGGATTCATTTTTTATATAGGGCCTATAGTTTGTTATGTTGGCTAGTATGATGAGGGGAAAATATAAATAAGAACAGACTGAAATACCAAAGTCTTTCAAGATCCCAGTGCCACACTGACATGTTGTTGACTGGATATAATATACCTACATGTGTGTGTATGTGTGTATTCACAAACATATACATTGTACATGTATTATATTAGCTATAAATGGAGCACACGCTTTCATTGTTATGTAACGTGTTCCTGAAAAATGGATGAGGCCTCTCCCTTGGAAAATTGAGAAGCTGGGTTGGCAGTCACTCAGTATTATAGTCATCTATTGTTTGAAGACTATACTACAAAATGTACATTTGCATTCATTTATAGACATTTTGACGTTTTATCATTGATAGATGGGCTTTTTGGGATCATTCTTGACGCGCAGCGGCCTGATTTTTCCCTCGAATTGGGGTCTTGAAAAAATTTTCCAGGATTTGGTGGGGACCCTGTTCTTATCAAACATCTACCGTCCTGATCTCTCCTCCTAAAACTAAACTAAAGAAGGGCAATGATGATGATAATGTCTTTCCCTCCAGAAAACAGACAAGTCCAGCACTGATGCCAGCCAGCCTGGCCTGGTGGCCTCGTACGGCGGTGACAGTGACAGCGGTGACGAGGAGGACTCGTACGCCCCCGTAGACGAGTCCAAACTGGTGGACTGGACCAAACTGGCCTGCCTGTTGTGTAAGCGACAGTTCCAGTCCAAGGAGATCCTCAGTAAACACACTCAGGTTTCTCAGCTGCATAAGGTATGCTTGTTTGTTTTTTTCATCTGAAAACTGATGGGGGGGCTTTGTATTTTTAGCTCATTTAACTCTATCTCTGGCACACCGCTCTCAACGGCTCACGGTTGGAACCACTGTGCCTGTGAGCGGTTCAGCGGCTCGGGCACATTCCTTTATGACGACTTCGACATCATATTACTTTTCGGCAATTCCTTTACGACGACTTCGACATCATATTACTTTTCGGCAATTCCTTTATGACGACTTCGACATCATATTACTTTTCGACAATTGCCGAAAACAGGTCTCTTGTACCGGAAGTTTATTAATTAGATGAAGAACTATCAAAATAGGTTAGTTAGTTTCCATTTAATTATGTTTTTTGTCATTTTTAGATTTGCCACCATAGAGGGCCCCAGCGTAGTGGGTTTACCCCCCTCGGAGATAGAGAGTTAATGTATTTAGTCTTGGTTTTCTGTTCTTGTAAAGTGCATAGAGCATTCTGTAGAACGTGAAGATGTGCTATATAAATACTACTATTATTATTAAAATTCATGATGGAACAATTTGTAATTTTCAAGTTCATTTTCTTTTTTCTTTCTTGAATGTAATTTTTGAAAATGTTCTTTTGGGTGAGGGGAGGTTTGTTTAGTTGTTGTTTTCAATCCTTGAATTTGCATTAAAGGAAAAGTCTCCTTGAAAACTCCTTGAATTTTGCCAGATCGGACAGGAACACAGGGTGACTGCCAGGCCCCGGGAATCCTGGAGGCCCCTGGAATTACCCAGGAATTTGAGAAAAAAATCGCCGAGCCCCGGAATGCAACGGAAATTTGAAGAAATCTGTTGAGTTGCCCCGGGAAAATACATAAAAGTTCTCGAATATTAATTGAAAAACAAATGCGATAACGTCCTTGGGTTCATTTTTGCCGGTCGCGATTGTGATATAACACTGGCATGTTGTTGACTGGATGTGCCTACATGCGTGCGTGAGCATGTGTGTGTGTATATATTATAGATAAAATAAATGGAGCATGCACTGTCATTGTTATGTAACATGCACCTGGAGAATGGATGAGCCCCCCCCACCCCCTGGAAAATTCAGAAGCCGGGTTGGCAGTCACCCTGGGAGCAGTTTTTGTAGGAAAATCGAAACTATGATGTGATCCTTTCGGACAAGCGCAGGCCTATAGCCTATCGAAAATAGGCTTTCGTCATGAATTTCTTGACCGAATCTCCATGAATTAAAAAAAATTCTCCTTGAAACCTACTTGAATATGATGGGAAGTTCATGGCAGGAACCCTGATACTACCCCACCATGCTTTATGGTTTTCTTTCTTCTTTGCTGTCTCTTCACCAATATTATTTTCCGACAAGAAATCTTATGACAGATTGAAGTGTTTATTGAAAGGCTTGCACCCCTGTGAAGGCTGCCACAGCTTCACAATAACTTGCTCTACCCCTCTTGGTTATTCTAAATTGTGATGCATCGTGGTGAAATCAGGCGCTCGTCAATTTTTGGGAATGTGGAGTTATTGATATCATCGTAAAAGTGTATTCATTTGCCTTGCTTCCAATGAAAAAAATTCTGACCAATCCTGAATAGAACTCAAAGTATTTGCGATTGAAGAAAGTGAGGTCGCCTGGTTTCAGTTGTGAAATTAGCGAGAAAATGGCCGCCAAAGTTTGACAACTCCATTAGCTAAAGAGTCCTTGAAAACAAAAAAATTACATATTTTGTGCGTGTAATCAGTGTTTTTCAGTAAAATTCACATGGAAATATGATTTATACGGACATAAAAGAGGTTGTGCCAAAAAATAAAAATTCGATAAAAATTTCCCCGCACAGAAAAATGCCTGTTTCACCGATTTCTATATTTTGACGAGCTCCTGATTTCACCACACTGCCTCACAATTACTGTTTTGGTCTCTGAAAGGACATGCAGTCGTACAATGCATTTCCAAAGCGTTCATCAGTTTGCTCAAATCTATAAATATTCGTGTTCAGATTGTAATTCCATGAATTGTTCAACTTTTCTGATATTTTTCTGCAGCAAAACTTGGAGTCGTTGTCAAAGTCGAGGGAGAATGCGGGCACTGTCAAGCTTGAGGTAACCTAAACTGTCTTGGACATGTAGTCTTATGATGTTTTAACACTCTGCAGTCACTTGGCGCAAAAATGCGTCAGTGAAAATTATCCGTTGTCCACTCCAGGCCTGAGAAGCCCGTTGCAGTCACTGTGATGATAACCTTCTGCAGAAATTCTCTCTCTCATCTGTAAAAGTGTTTAGTCACTATTTTTGTGTGTGACTGCCCCAGATAGGTACTTCCCATAATGAAAAATTAGATCTGATTCAAGTGTGTGAAATATCAAACCTGTCTGGTGGAAGTGAACCAGCTTTTTATTCTTACTACTTTGAGAGCTTTCTAGAACTTTTTTTTGGTGTTTTTTGTTTGTTTTTGTTATTGTCCTTTGGTATCAAAATTCCTTAAAAATAAATAATAAATAAAATAAGAATTTTGGCATTGAAATTTCCTTCATTGGTGGTTGGCGGGTGCTCTGGTGTGGTTTTCTCCTTCTTTCCTATCAAACATCTATCGTCCTTATCTCTCCTCATTCTTTTGTGTTTGTTACTCTCTTGTAACACCTCTATTTTTCGGCACTTATATGCCGTCATTGTGTTGCAAGTGCCATAAAAGTCTTAAGACTAAAACAAACCAAAAAAACAACTTCCCGTCCCCTCACAGTAGATGGATGTCAACAACTTCTGTTTTTTTTTTTTTTCTCAGTACCGAGACCGGGCCAAAGAAAGGAGGCTGAAGTACGGTGCCCCTGAACCACCGGAGCCCAGGAAACGGAAGGAAGCCGAGTTTGAGGAACCAGCTCCTGTTGCGTAAGTCTCTCTTTCCAGCGTTGGGTGTTGTGTCAGTGGGAACTGCTTGGTGCATCATAAGGCTTCAATGTGTTAGCCCTATCCGTACGCCGTGGGGTCATTTTGTATCCCAGGGGTTGTATTCTTCACATTTTAGAATACTTCTAGTGCGAAGATCTCTTTGAAACTTTCAGTATTTCTTTTTAAAAATTGTTTTGACAGACTGCTATGCAAAGCGTATGGATCGGATTAACGAGTACATTTTCTCTTTGGAAAGTGGTGGCACAGAGTTCCCAACGGCGTATGGATAAGATAGTAAATCATGACGAACGGATAGGGTTAACCCATTTCCACCTGAGTTGCCTCCCTCAGCAGATCCCCCTGCCTCCTGCCACACCCACAAATCTAGGTACCCACATTGAAACTACAATAGCTTTCCCTCCAGCCAGCTACAAAATTAGCGGACAATAAGCATATGGAAGTGCACGAATGATAACTATAAAAGTAGGGTTTTTTTTTAATCTTGGGAATAATGGACTAGAGAAAGTTTTATAGTAACAAAGAGAGATTTGGATTCTCTCGTAGTCGGGTGGCTGCCTGGATACAAGTATTCTCCTAGGTCAAATTGTGCCCATTTTGAAAAGATCATGATTCAAAAGCCATAAAAGATTTCTTTGTCATTTATTTTGCTTGTTCTTGTACTGTATCTGATGTCTCTGGTGTAAATTTGGGGTATGTGGTGTGAGAGGGTGAATTTGTGTGAATTTTTGAAAACCTCCAAAAGAGCCCCAGACTCAAGTGAGTGGGTGGTTGGCGGGTGCTCTGGTGTGGTTTGCTCCTTCTTTCCTTTTAACGTCTATTGTCCTGATCTCTCCTCATTCTGTTTTATGATTGTTACTCTCTTGTAACACTTCTAATCTTTGGCACTTATATGACCTTATTGTGTTGCAAATGCCGTAAAACTCTTACTAACTAAAAAAGACTCAAGTGAGTGAAGTATTGTATGAGGAAACTAGCTGTGAAAAGTTTGTGGTAACGCGTTGCTCTGTGTATGTGTTCCAGTTTCGAGGCACCGACCAAGAGCGGCATCAGCGGGGACAACATTGGCAACAAACTGCTGCAGAAGATGGGCTGGTCCCAGGGGCAAGGCTTGGGCAAGGCCAACCAGGGCAGAACTGACCCCATTGAGGTGAGTCGGAGACCTGTGTTACTTACACCCGTGGGGAAAAGTTTGTTTTACGGGCTGACTGCCAGGCCCCGGGAATTTGAAAAAAATCGCTGAGATCCAGGATTACCCAGCGAGTTTGAGAAGACCTGTAGATTGCCACGGGAAAGTGGATAAAACTTCTCGAATATTTAAAAACAAAATTCCAATTCGTGAAGGTCTTTTAAGTTCATTTTTGCCCGTCAGGGTTTGTGATATTCCTTCGGTTTTTCGCGGTCTGAGCGTACGTTTCACGCGAACAGGCGGCTGTGGTGGTAAGTGGAAGTGTATGTGTGATACAGAGGCTCAATCTGGAAAATCAAGATCTACTTTCGCTTTCATTACCACCCAGAAATTTGTCGGTAATAGTCTGATAGCGCAACATTTGTAACATGCGGGTTGTGCATTATAAAGGTGGTATCACCATGAAAATAAATCAATATTTGTCACTTTGCTGTCACTTGGGGGGGGGGGGGGTGGAGAAAGTTTTGTGTTTTACAAGCGTCTTGTCGGGCTCGCCATTGTGCCGGTTCAGTGAACCTGCATGCGTTCTATGCGCTGGGAATTTTTTTTTTTTTTAAGATACACCCGGGTAGGGCTGAACGCAACTTCTTCTTCTTCTTTTTCTTCTTCTGTCCCGTGGTTGGGGCAACCGTGGGGGCACCACTGCCTCTGAAAACCAGCTCTCGCCATTTGTCTCTGTCCTCTGCTTTCCTCAGATTGTCACCCATCGTCTTTCCTGTCCACTCTGTATTGTTGTCCTCCCATCTCCTTCTCTGCCTTCCTCTCTTTCTCTTTCCTTGTACGGTTCCTTGTAGAATTGTTTTGGCAGTTCCTGTGGATCTTGTGACATGCCCATACCATTTTAATTTTCATCTCTTCACTGTGGTCAGTAGATCTTCATGCTGCCCCACTGCGTTCGTGATTCTGTTCCGTGTTACACCCGTGGGTTATAGTTTGTTTTAGTAAGGTTTTACGGCGCTCTCAACTGAGTACGGGCATTTGAGTGCCAAGGAATGGATATCAACAGAGAAGTCCAAACGGGGAATCAGGCTTACTTTGATCATCTCTCTAGCCTCAACAGCACAAAGTCTGCCTTCACTATCGAGGCACCCCGCAAATAGTTCACACAAAAGAATGACAAACATACAAAAGAAGTAGAGGAAAAATTACGATAGTAATGACAAGGAAAGAAAAAGTAGCAGTTCCCCCTTTGTTGTTTCAGCACAGTATGAGCATGGCATTGGTAAATCAGCCCATTTACAATTCTACTGTGCATACGAATATGTGATGGATAAAAGTTTGCTGGCTGTGGCCGGAAGTTCGAGCAAGGGAAAGTCGGTGGGCATCAGGGTGCCAGCAGCCGGCGACGGCTGTCCTTGACTGTACTAGCGTTGATCTCGTGAAGCACAGGGTTTTTTCTTTTACCTGACAACTGTCTGGTTGTGTGGCATTGGTGGCCTAGTGGTTAGGCTACCGGACTCGTAATCTAAGGTTGCAGATTAGGGGGTTCAAGCCGCGGGCCTGACGTTGTTTCCTTGGGGAAAGGCACTTTATACGAATTTTCCTCACTTCATCCTGGTGGGAATGGGTACCCGACCATAGACAGCGAGAGATCTTGTCTGTATGTTAGTGTTTTAACGCCTACAAATGGCTGCTTGCACTGTTTGCTTCTCAAGATGTTGAGGTTGTTTCAGAATGCTCTCAGGTCTACTGGGGTAATAGTATAGATTGTGAAGCGCCTAGAGCTTGCTGTTGAGCGTGGATTTGCGCTATACAAATGCTATCTGTTATTATTAATTTTCAAAAGTCCGACTTATTTAGTTCCGCTGCTCGGGTTTGAGCATAAATCGATAGTACGGGGATGGTTTGATTATCTTTGCAGGCACAGCATTTATTTGACCTTAGTTTTGCAAGTGTCGTAAAACTCTTATGGAAAAAAAAATTAGTTATTGTGTTCTTGTACCTTTCTTAGCTCCTCTCGGGATACAAGCATAAATTTTTGTTCACCCCCCGGGGCAGTGCCACTGACTGAAATGTCTTTAGGCCATTCCCAAAGGGGGACATTTTTCGTTCAAGCACAGTAGAATTGTAAATGGGCTGATTCATGTCACGCTCATAACTGTGCCTGAACTACAACAGGGAACTGCTGCTTTTTCTTTCCTAATCCTTACTATTGTCATTTTCCTCTACTTATTTAGTATGTTTGTCACACTGTTGTGACCTGCTATTTCCGGGGTGCCTTGATAGTCGAAGCTAGAGAGGTGAGCAGAGTAAATCTGATTCCCTGTAAAGACTTCTCTATTGACACCCACCCCTTGGTGCTCATATGACCTTTTGCAGTTGCGAGCGTCGTAAAACCCTCTGTGGGTGGTTGACGGGTGCTCTGGTGTGTTCTGCTTCTTCTTTCCTATTAAATGTTTATCCTCCTTATCTCCCCTCATTCTATTTTGTGTTTGTTACTCTCTTGTAACACCTCTAATCTCTGGCGCTCATATGACCTTATGCAGTTGCGAGCGACGTAAAACCTCTACTAAAACTTAAAAAGCTAAAACCCTCTACAATAAAAAAATATATATATATAATTATTGTTCTCTCTTCTGCAGGCTCAGAGGAGGAATCAGATGGCAGGGCTGGGCGCCCGAGGGGCCAATGTGGTGGCGGACGTCGGAGACAACTACAGAGACGCCCTGAAGAAGACCATGTTCGCTCGCTACAACGAAGTGGAGTGAACGCCTCTCACGCGACTGACTGAATGACTGACAGACAGAGAGACAGACGGAATGTCTCGCTCACAGTGACAGACAGGCCTGTAGTAGTAGTAGTACACACAGTGCCCTGTGCAGGTACGGGCCAGGCCGCGTGTTGAGCTAACAGCTCACGGCTGGTGACCTTGGCTTTGTGTGCTCACACACGCACGCACACACAAAGTCCCCTGTCCCATCAGGATGGGTCTTCAATAGGTGCTCTGTCCTACCTACGTGACATGCTGTGCCCGCTCTGCCGAGGATGGCTTTTACTGCCCTCATTTTGTGAGGATTTATTTTATATTTTGTTAAACCACTGTTGTGTGTCTGATGATATGTCACAATTGATTTTTAGTTTTGGCGAGTCGTATGTATGTTTTCCTCTGAATGAGTGATGATTGTTTCAACGATTGTGTGTAACATACGGTATGCCTGTCCTTTCACTTTCACACACACACACACACACACACCCCACAATTTGTTTTGTAAGAAAGCAGGAGGTGAAAAGATCTTACAGATAGGCTAACTATTGATTTATCATACCTGTTTTGGACCTTTGTATATTTTAGTTTGGTTATTGTCCGAATTATTTTTGGTTGAAGTTGTAAATAATTTTGAGTAAAATAAAGCAAATCGTGCCAGTCTCCTGTTGATGATAAACTGCAGCATAACTGACTTGAGTGAGTGGGTGGTTGGCGGGTGCTCTGGCGTGGTTTGCTTCTTCTTTCCTATTGAACAACTATTGTCTTTATCTCTCCCCATTCGTTTTTGTGTTTGTTACTCTCTTTTAACACCTCTAATCTTTGGCGCTTTTATGACCATATTGTGTTGCAATAACTACAAAAACTAAAACTGACTTACGTGATAACATCTTGACCACAACTGAACAAGTGTGGGAGAACTGATTCTACACAGCCACGTGACGACTCTTTGAGCTGAGAGAATCGTGAGTTGCATCTCTTGCCTTGAAATCAGTCACTGTTTTAGAATGCATGCGAAATAATGTTGTTGTTTTTTGTTTGTTTGTTTTTTCGCTTGTGTTTTTTTTTTTTTAAATGCCAGAGAGATTAACGCTTTGGCTCCAACACGATATATTTTTAGCGACGTTATGACGATGATGAGAAGAGAAGTGTGAATGAAGTCAACTCTGTCCCTCATGCCCAGGAACCACCCCCCAACAAGTGTTCAGGACTCACAATTACAGTTTGCACTCCCTCGGTCTATATTTGTGAGGCAGCGTGGTGAAGTCAGGCGCTCGTCAAAATAATGAAATCAAAGAAAACAGCATTTTTCTGCTGGTTTAGCCAATTTTATTGAATTTTAATTTTTTGGCTTAATCTTTTATATGTCCTTATTAAAAAAAAACACATTTCCATGTGAATTTTACTGAAAAGCACTGATTATAGGCACAAAATATGTCATTTTTCAGTGTTGAAAGATTCTTTAGCTATACAAGTTGCCGAACTTTGGCTGCCATTGTCTTGGTAATTTCACCTCAGAGACCAGATAACCTCGCTTCCTTCAATCGCAATTATCTTGAGTTCTCTTCAAGGTAAATGGATATTCATTTCATTGGAAGCAAGGCAAGTAAATCAGCTTCCATACAATACCAATAACTCCACATGCCCCAAACTTGACGAGTGCCTGATTCTACTGCGTCCGTCGTGAGACATATTATATTATTTGTATATGTGGTGATGTTTTCGGCAAAGCTCAAAGCTGTTTAATTTTTCCACACATGTTACTCTTACTGTTATGTTACTCTGCTCTGGTGCATCGTGTGTGTGTGCAGTCCACACAGGTCTATGGAGATTTTGTTGATTTTTATACGATTATGTTGACATTCTGATGATAAATAAATGCAGGTCGTGTACATAAATGATCCTTTTGTGTATATAATGATGTATGTGATGGCTTACTGTAGATGAATTTCTTGTTTATTGACTCAGTAAATTTTCACAAACTTACACTTCGCGTATGTTGTCAATTTCTGTGCAAAATGGAGTCGTTTATTTCTGTTTGTATACGCTTCTCCCTCCGAGACCTAACATTGACAACACACTCTATGGGACTTAACAGCAACTGCAGCAAACCTGCACTTATCACTACATGGCATTGGACAGAGGGTCGAGAGCCCAGATGTTGCTGGATCGACAACAACAACATTTCTGTTTGTATAACATACAGTACATGATATAACACGGATATGTCAAACACAGAAGACTCAAAATCACACATCCGTGGAATTATGTCTGCGGCCCTGTGTTTTGTTTTTCTTATTCTTTATCTTTGTAAGTTATCCCTTGAACTACCAAGGTGGGGGCTCTGGTGTGGTTTGCTTTTTCTTTCCTGTCAAACATCTATCGTCGTTATCTCTGCTCCTTCTTTTTTGTGTTTGTTACTCTCTTGTAACGCCTCTAATCTTCGGCACTTATATGGCCTTATTGTGTTGCAAGTGCTGTAAAACTCTCAGTGGGTGCTCTGGTGTGGTTTGCTTCTTCTTTCCTTTCGAACATCTATTGTCTTTATCTCCCCTCTTTCTTTTTTGTGTTTGTTACTCTCTTGTAACGCCTCTAATCTTCGGCACTTATATGGCCTTATTGTGTTGCAAGTGCTGTAAAACTCTCAGTGGGTGCTCTGGTGTGGTTTGCTTCTTCTTTCCTTTCGAACATCTATTGTCTTTATCTCCCCTCTTTCTTTTTTGTGTTTGTTACTCTCTTGTAACGCCTCTAATCTTCGGCACTTATATGACCTTATTGTGTTGCAAGTGCCGTAAAACTCTTACTAAAACTAAAACTAAACTCTTGCTAAGCCTGAACAAAATGGAGTCGTTTATTTCTGTTTGTAGACATACAGTAAAGTATAGAACAAATGTCAAACACAGAAGAATCTCATTCAGGGGAACTGTGCCTGCGTCCCTGTGGGATTTTTGTTTCTTCTTTTTCTTTGTAAGATATCCCTCTAACCACCTGTGTTTTTTTTCTTCTTTTAGTTTTAGTAGAGGTTTTACGGCGCTCGCAACTGCATATGGTCATATGAGCGCCAAGGGGTGGATGTCAACAGAGAAGTCCTTACAGGGAATCAGGCTTACTCTGTTCACCTCTCTAGCTTCAACAGCACAAAGTCTGCTTCGACTATCAAGGCACCCCGGAAATGGGTCGCAAGAGTGTGACAAACATACAAAAGAAGTAGAGGAAAAAATGACAATAGTAAGGATTAGGAAAGAAAAAGCAGCAGTTCCCTGTTGCAGTTCAGGCACAGTTATGAGTAATATGAGCATGACATTGATGCATCAACCCATCTACAATTACAATTCTACTGTAACTGTGCATAAGAACTCGAGATGTTAATGTCCCCCTCTTTGGGAATGGCTTAAAACTGTCCCTGTTGTTTTTTGCAAAAAAAATTCTGAAATTATGCAAACTGAGCCCAAAAATGTGAAATTATGCTATTGTGTTATTCTAACTAAGAATGATAACGGAAAATAATCAGAAATTATGCAAAAAATTATCAAATTTTGCTAAATTATGCGGGGTGCATAAAACCACGGGGACAGCTTAAAGACACTTCAGTCAGTAGAACCGCCCGGGGGGGGGGTAAGTTAAGGGTTTAGAACCAGGAAAAACCTCACAGTAGCTAACAGGGTACACGGTGGCGAATACTGACACATGTAGGCCTATAACTAACTTCTACTACAAGAAGATCGTATGAAAAATGGTGGAGTTTTTAAAAAAAGTGTATGGAAAAATCGCGTTTTGAAAAAACGGGCGATAGAGAAAAATAAAAGATTGACTTTAATACATGTATGAGGAAATGGTGGTGACATTCTTGAACTAGCTTGGGTTGTTGTTGTAGTTGTAGTGAGGGAAGCTTTCAAGGCTCTCCACCCGTATGGTTCGCCCCAACCAGATTTAAAAATGTAGAGTTGTTCCCTCTTCCGATCAGGACATTGGGGATTGCCTTGTTAGTGAGACAACTTCCTTGACCGTGGACACATTGTGGTAGGGCGGCCAGTTCCTTTCCACGCCGCCTTTACTTCCCCAACTCGAAGTCAGGTACCCATTACATTACTGCTGGGTGGGCAGGAGGGGGCGAAAAAACCCGTGTCCGAACCGTGGCTCGAACCCGGACTTTCCGCTTCGGAGACGAGCGCCCAACCAAAGACAGACGCTGAAACTCGGAGGTCCCGCCATTTAAATGAGTTGACAATGTTAATAGAATAGAGGCATGAAACCTGTTCGATTACCATAAAAGCATTAATTGATTAACCAACCATTACCAATTAATCTCAACTACTGCAGCAGGTTAACAAGGAAAGTGTTAGATTGGAACCCGCAGGGTAAAATATCAAGGAGAAGACCACGTGGAACCTGGAGAAGAGTCACAGAAATTGATGTACAGGACACTGGGAAGACATGGGATAACATCAATAGGCTAGCCCAGGATAGAGAAAGCTGGAAAATGTTTGTCGGTGACCTATACACTGGTGCAGGGTGAGAAAGTGTTTGTCCGTGGCCTATACCCTGGCGCAGGGTGAGAAAGTGTTTGTCCGTGGCCTATACCCTGGTGCAGGGTGAGAAAGTGTTTGTCCGTGGCCTATACCCTGGCGCAGGGTGAGAAAGGCAATGATGATGACCCGCATGGTTCGCCCCAACCAGAGACAGACGCCAAATTTGAAAGTCCCGCCATTTTTTCAAATTTAAATGAGTTGACAGTGTTGAAAGGGGCATGAAACCCGAGCGATTATCATAACCAATTAATTAATTAACCATTAGCAATTAATCTCAACTACCGTACTGCTGTAGGTGTGTGTAACAAGTATAAGCAACCATTTGTCACGATAACAAAGATCGTGTATACAAGATAGTTCACTCCTCTCTTTGAGCCAATTAAAAAAGTGTCCTCAAAATTCGGTTGCGCCCTCTTCGAAAAAGTGTGGACTTTGCAAACAGTGACCCTACTTGTGTGAGAGACAATGACAGCGAAACTAACATTCTGTGCTATTCCTTCTCTTCTTCTGGAGAAACGAAAGAGAGCTTCAAAACAAAGACTGCAGCGCCATCTGAACCAATGCGCGGACTTCCGCGGACACTTTTTTGGCTGAGTGAACTATCTTGTTATGTCATGTACGATCTTTGATGAACTGCACTGGAAGTGGAAGAGACGAGGCATGCGGTGGTGTTGACGGGAGAAGGTGGTCACGTGGTCAGAGCTAAGTGCTGGTCTGTGTCTGACAACTGTGACTTCGTGTCTTGTGAAACCTGCACAACATTCCGTGGCTCTGCTGGGCACGAAACTAGATAGATAGATAGATAGATAGATAAATAGATAGATAGATAGATAGATAGATAGATAGATAGATAGATAGATAGATAAATAGATAGATAGATAAATAAGATAGGTAAATGGATGGATAGA